CTCTGAGCAATTTAGCATTTGCAAAGCTTTCAGGAAAGAGGACTGGAGGGGGACCAATTGGATTGCATTCCCAAAGTGCTGAAACAGGCTTGATAGAGTGAGATAGAGAGCAGCATACTCAGCTCTGTACTCCTGGAGTGTGAACAGTGAATGTGCTCTGGATGAACACAGCAGGCCCAGCAGCATCAGAGGAGCAGGAAAGCTGACGTTTCGGGCCTAGACCCTTCTTCAGAAAAACAGCTTTCCTGTCAGCTTTTCTGCTCCTCTAATGCTGCTTGGCCTGCTGTGTTCATCCAGCTCTACACCTTGTTATCTCAGATTCTCCAGCATCTGCAGTCCCTATTATCAGTGAATGTGCCCTATCGGATTTCTCATATTTCAAGATCTGACTGTTTTTTTTTCTCTTTACAGAATGGCACCAGGAAGTACTGGGATTTCATGAAAACACATGACAGGTAACTCTGTCCTGACACTTTGTCACTATCTCTTGTTTGTTCCTGTCAACATTCATTAGACCACCTTGTCCTCACTGCAGCTGCAGATTTAATGCTTACTTGGAGCTTTCTTTCCTTATTATCCCAATTTTCCTTAGTTTCCACCCCTCCTCTTTCCCCCTGGTGCTAAGTCTGTGTGGACCGATTATCCAGCACTGACCGAACTTGGGCAGTGGCTCTCCCTGTGTAACAGCAGACCATAATCACAACCAGTTCACTAATACAAGGAAATGATGATTCCTTAGCTACAATTAGACAGGTATCAGTGGAACCAGGTTAGTTCTTTTTAAAAATTGCTGTTGGAAGGCTGGCAATCCTAGCAAGACCAGCATTTATTGTCCCTTGAGAACGTGGCAATGAGCTGCCCTCTTGAACCGCTGCATTCTATGTGCTGGCGGTAAACCCACAAAGCTCTTAGGGAGGGAATTCCAGGATTTTGACCCAGTGACACTGAAGGAACAGTAATATGTTTCCAAGTCAGGATTGTGAGTGACTCGGAGGGGAACTTGCCTATGATGGTGTTCCCATGTACCTGCCGCTCTTGTGCCTTCTAGGTGGAACTGATCCTAAATCCTAATCTGGGTGTCGGTGCAATTCTTCACTCACTTGGGTTTATGCAGTAAATATTGTCCAATTGACAATTTCCATCAAATGTTGGAAACTATTGTGGTTGGTTGGCTTGCCGAGCTGGTTCGCTGTTGCGCAGACGTTTCATTATCCTGCTGGGTAACATCATCAGTGCAGCCTCCGATGAAGCGCCGTTGTGTTTTCCCGCCTGGTTTTTAAACTCTGGAGTCCGTTGAGCTGGATTGCCTCACTTCCGGTTTTCCTTTGCAATGGAGTGTATATGGGGTCGAGTTCTATGTGTTTGTTGACGGCTTTCTTCGTGGAGTACCAGGCTTCTAGGAATTCCCGAGCCTGTCTCTGCCTAGCCTGTGCCAGGATCTTGGTGTTGTCCCAATCGAATTGGTGGTTCTCCTTGTCCATGTGGATAGAGATGAGTGAGTAGGAAGGAAAACCAGAAGTGAGGTAATCCAGCTCAACGGACTCCAGAGTTTAAAAACCAGGCGGGAAAACACAACGACGCTTCATCAGAGGCTGCACTGATGATGTTACCCAGCAGGGTAACGAAACGTCTGCGAAACAACCATGAGCCAGCTCAGCGAGCCAACCAACCACAACATCCACAACCTGAGCTGCAAATCTACTCCAAAACGTTGGAAACTATTGTGAGTTTTCTAAGTGTGGGCTGGTTGAGTCTGGTCAGTACATTGTTTGCTGCGAACAGCTGAGGGACATGCAGTTTCATATGATGTCTCAGTCTTTGGGACTTTCAACCTAGATACATGGCATCACACCAGCACTGAAAGTTATCTACCTCGTGACTCACTTATTTGATGTGGTAGATCAGATTTTTTGTTTTTTTATTCATTCATGGCATGAGGGCATCGCTGGCTAGGCAGCATTTATTGCCCGTCCCTAATTGCCCAAAGGGCAGTTTAGAATCAACCACGTTGCCGTGGGTCTAGAGTCACATGTAGGCCGGACCAGGTAAGAATGGCAGTTTCCTTCCCTAAAGGGCATTAGTGAACCAGATGGGTTTTTCCAACAATCAACAATGGGCAATGAATTCACGATCATCATTAGACTCTTAATTCCAGATATTTATTGAATTCAAATTCCACCATCTGCCATAACAGGATTCAAACCTGGGCCCCCAGAACGTTATCTGAGTCTCTGCATTAACAGTCCAGCGATGATACCACTAGGCCGTCGCCACCCCTATTTATGGGTGTGCATCACACAAAATTATGAATGGGTTTAAGGCTTTTGGTCCTGGAAAGTGTTTTGTTTACTTCAGAGTAAGATACCTCCAGAGTTTGAGCAACAGGTGAAGCTGGCATATTCACACTGTTATTATGCAACGTGAGTCATGTTTGACACTAACAGGGTTTTGCAGACAATTTGGAAGACGTTCCGCCTATAACACAAATAGGTAATGTGCTGAATGCATTTCAGTGGTGGTCTGATGCCAAGTAGGTCGGGCATACATCCCAAAGACTGAATGATCCTATTAGCTGTTCACAATAAGTGAGATCCTGACTGTATGCAATCATTCTGAACTTGCAAAACTTAGCCCAGTGTCCAACGTTGAATTCCGCAACTGGGCAGCGTTTGTTAAATAATCCTGAGTGCACTGAAGAATTACACTGACAACTAATTAAGATTAAACAAAAATGGAGAGAAAGAATTGCAGATGCTGGAAATCAGAAACAAAAACAAAAATTGTTGGAAAAACTCAGCAGGTCTGGTAGCGTCTGTGGAGAGAAATCAGAGCTAAAGTTTCTGGTTGAATGACTGTTTTATTGAATTGGTTAGGATTGTCACTCAAGCTGTTAGTATGATTCATCTGCATGTACTGGAATAACAAGGTGTGGAGCTGGATGAACACGGCAGGCCAGGCAGCATCAGAGGAGCAGGAAAGCTGACATTTCGGGTCTGGACCCTTCTTCAGAAATTTTCCGAATGATGCTGCCTGGCCTGCTGTGTTCATCCAACGCCATACCTTGTTATCTCAGACTCCAGCATGGCAGTTCCTACTATGTCTGCATGTACTGGAAGCTGCACATATTAATACACAGGGCCCTGTGCTTTGCGGACAGCAAGGACATGTGACTGTTTCAACTCAACAAAATAGGTGACATTCTCTGGTTCATGCCTCAATGCCATAGAAAATGGGAGTCAACCTGCCTTATGTAAAATTTAAACAAAACTTTTAACTGTCAATTAACTGTTAGTCAGCATTAACTGATGTATTCTCCTTAGCAACATTCTACCAATCAGAGTCTGTTTGCAAATCAATCGGCACTCCCCTCTCTAACAATATAAATATTGTTTTCTCTTTACTTTGGTATTTCTTGCAAATTGTCCTGATAAGTGCAAGGTGAAAAGCTTTGACAATATGCATCTTTTTTCCACAATACTCAAAATTCCTAGTTTTAATCACTTAGTCCTGGGGGGCTATGCCTTCAGGTGCTTGGGGTAGAACTCTTGGAATTTCCACTGTGCCTCCGTAGCTCGCCTTCTTCCATTAAAAGGCCCAATAAACCTATTCTTGCATGATCATCTGTCTCCGTATCTTAATTGACTCAGTATCAGATTTGCTTTGTAATGCTCCTGTGAATTGGTGTTTTAATTATGTTGATGGTTTTATATATAAATAGAAAGTTGTTGTTGTAAATATACACTGCTGCACACTGGTCCCACCAACATTGGTAAAGGAACATTGCCCCATAATGTGATACCCAGCTCATAACTAAAAGGACCCTTGCCCACATTGTTGTGTATCTGAGCGTAGGTAGGTGTTGCTCTGGCCTGTCCGTTGAAGCAGCTTTTTTCAGGATAGGTATGACCGGCCAGTATGCTGACTGCTCATTCTACGTTTTTAGCAGTGAGTCAGGCCTGCAGAATCTTAACGTTGCTAATTATTCCCTTTGTTTAAGCAGGTCTCATTTCACAAGCACTAAGTAATAGTCATGGGTTCGGTAACCCCATCAAATTAATTTTATCAAAGAGAAGGTGGGGGGTGGTGCTGGAGTCTGGGAATGGGGTGGGGGAGTGTAGAATAAAGCTGAGTGTATTGGCCTCCCAGTGGGAATGTTGAAAATTCCACAGATCAGTTTCAAGCCCCTATCAAGTTCAAGGGAAGACCAAACAAACCTTTTGAGATGCGGTAGGTGTTTTGTAAATTACTGATCTTAGAGAAGGACTGACTGTGATCGATGACAGATCCTATTGCTCTATGCATGTGTGCAAGATGGTGTTGTTGAGGTGTTCAGTTTAAAGTGTGAATCGGAAGAGCCGGAATACAATAATTAGGAGCAGGAGTTGGCCATTCAGCCCATCAAACTTGCTCTTCATTAAGTAAGATCATGGCTGATCTGGTTGTGGTCTCAACTTTACTTTCTTGTCATCTCCACTACCTCTGACTCCCTTGACTGTCCAAAATCTATCAAACTTGGCCTTGAATACATTCAGTGACCTAGGCTCTTTCTGGGGAAGAGAATTCCACTGACCCCTCATGGGAGAGTCTGGGACCATAGGGCGTAGTCACAGAATAAAGGGAATGCCAATTTAAGACTGAAATGAGGAGGAATTTCTTGTCTCAGGTTTTGAGTCTTTGAAACTCACTGCAAGCTAAAGGAGTGGGGACAGAGTCCTTTTGCATATTTCAGGCTGAGATAGATTCTTCATCAGTTAGGGATTGGAGGGTTAATGGAAAATGCAGGCAAGTAGACATGAGAAATGTCAGATCAGCCATGGTCCTATTGAATGACAGAGCAGGCTTGAGGGACCGAATGGCCTATTCCTGTTCTTATTTTTTATGATCTTATGTTTTTAGACTACCGACCCATTGAGAGAAAAACATTTTCCTTATCGCAGTATTGAGTTGGGCAGCCCTAATATTTAAACTGTTATTCCTATTTCCAGACTCCCTCCACAAAGGGAAGCAAGTGAACACCAACAGAACAGCTTCTGATATCATTATATACTTTCTTAAGTAGGAAAACCAAAACTGTACACCAGGTACGATCTAACCAAGTCTCTTTACAGCTACAGCAACACTTCACTCCATTTATATTAAATGTTCCCTTCACTAAATGCTACTATTCCATTTGATTACTAATCATTTATCTACATGTTAGCATTTTATGACTCGTATCAGGATGCCCAGATCCCCCTCTAACCAGGTCTGCAATCTTTCTCTATTTAAATGATATGCTGCTTTATATTCTTCTTGCAAAAATAGACAAGTTTTCATTCTTCCACATTACACTCCATCTGTCACTTTTTTCCCCAATCGCTAACCTGTCTAACTTTATAGTATTGTACACTTTTTCTTTCAGTTTGATACTGTTGTTAACTTCTTCAGTTAAACAAGGATTGTGTGTCCCTCTGATAGAATCTCTCTTTCTCAATGGACTTTATCTTTGTTGAAAAGTATATAATATCTCCTTAAAATCTGCCACTGTTTCATGAAATGTTATAATCACTATTACTGAGAGATTCCTTTACTCTGGGTTCATTCACTAATCTTGTCTCATTGCACGTTACCAGGTCTAAAATAGTTTGCTTCCTGGTTAACACTGGAATGTCCCGAATATACTCTTATGAACTCATCTTTCCTTTGTCAATTCAATTTGTCCAATCTATATGTAGGTTAAAATTGTCCATGATTATTACAGTACACTTCTTATAATCCCCCATTATTCCTTCCTGTAAGTTCTGTCCCAGAGTGTAGTTACTGTTACAAGTCTGTAAACAACTTGCATAAGTGACCTAATTTGATTCTGTATCTTGATCTTCTGAACTTTGCTGTACTAATGTCATCCTTAATTAACAGAATTACCATCCTGCTTTTACCTAGCTTCTTGACCTTATTATTCTTGCCTAACATGTTAAATAGCCTTGAATATTTTTCTCCCAGCCTTAGTCACCTTGCAACCACACCTCTGAAACCATCTCATTCGTATTTATCTCTATTTCTGCTATTGATTGATCCATTTTAATACCAACGCTGCCTGCATTCAGATACAGAGCCTCTAATTCTGACTTGTTACAATTTTTGCAATCTCTGGCCTTATCTGTTATTGTACTCTTGAGTGTCTATGCTCTGTTCCTGCCTGCCACACTTTAGCTATCATTAGTTATGCCAGTTCCCTGTTCTGTTGCCTTTTGCTTTCTCTCAATTTTATCACCTCTTCCGTTTTCTGATCCATAATCCTGCACTATTTAACATGAAGCTCATAGAGAGCTTGTAGTTATAAGACTCACCGGACACCGGTCCCAGCATGGTTGAGGTAAAGATTGTGGAGTTTGGTAAGTGGAGTAGAGGAGATAACTCAGCCATATTGTACAGTGAAGGATTAGGAAGTGTTAGGAATAGTGATAATTTGTGTTGAGACTCTTGTGAAATTTGCATATAATAATGAAAATAGTTTTAATCTTCAGGATGACAGAGGAAGTGTGAAGTGATGCATTTCAGAAGGACTAATACGCAAAGACAGTGTACTAAAAATGGCACTGCTTTGAAAAGTGCATAAAGAGTGAGAGACATTGGTATTCATAGACACACAAAACCTTAAAATGACAGAGTGGGTTGATAACAAGGCTGAAAAAGCATTTTGGTTACTTCGGTTTATAAATAGAGGAATAGAAAATAAAAGCGGGGCTCTTGTTGAAACTTTATAAATCAGTGGTTAAGCCTTAGAGTGAGTATTATGGGCAACACTATGGCTGTGTACTTGACAAACGATATTAAGGAACAGAAAACCAAAAAACTGTGGATGCTGGAAATCGGAAAAAAACACTCAGAAATTGCTGGAAAAACTCAGCTGGTCTGGCAGCATCTGTGGAGAGAAAACATAACCTCTGCTTTCGCACCACAGATGCTACCAGACCTGCTGAGTTTATGCAGCAATTTCTGATGTGAGGGAACAGAGTAGTTTTACTAGGACGTAACAAGAGATGTGGGATTTGGTGATGAGGAAATGTTAGGACTATTCCCCTGTGAGCAGGTGACTAAGAAGTGACTGAATGGAGATTTTGAGGAAGATGAGAAGTTCTAATAAAATAGATCGAGAAACAGCTTGGGGAGTAGGTCTCTAACCTGAGGTCTTAGATTTAAAGTCATTGGGGGAAAAAATGAATATAAATGAGCAATGTTTCTATTTGGGATTGTTGGGATCTTGAGTGATCTAAGATCACAGAATTGTTGTAGTGCAGAAGGAAGCCATTCAGCCCATCATATCTGCTCTGACTCATTAAGTGAGCATCATTACCTAGTGCTGGTCTCCTGATTTTTCTCCATACCCTTACATATTATTTTTATCCAAATAATCCAAACTCTTGAGTGCCCCTCAGATGATGCAGGACTAATTATCATATGGATGATAATGGAATAGTTTAGGTTAGATGGGCTTCAAATTGGTTTCACAGGTCTGCGCAACATCGAGGGCTGAAGGGCCTGTACTGCGCTGTAATGTTCTATGTTCTAAGCATGACTGCCTGTTTTAAGTCAGTCCAGGTAGTATGGGCTAAATTTTAATTCATTTGTGGGATGTGGGGGTCGCTGGCTGCCCCAGCATTTATTCCCCGTCCCTAGTTGCCCCCTTGAGAAGGTGGGGATGAGCTGCCTTCTTGAACCGCTGCAGTCCATGTGCTGTAGGTTGACCCACAATGCCCTTAGGGAGAGAATTCCAGGATTTTGACCTAGCGACACTGAAGGAAATGACTTCTATGTGTGCTGTAAGTTTCAATGATAATACCCCAAGCTTGGATAGTAAGAAGAGTGGAACTGATCTCTACAGTCCACTAAAAAGATATAGGCAAGATGTTTTCACTTCTCAGGGATACCAGAACAACTGAGAATAGTAAAACATTCCAGCAGGAAAATTAGATAACCCCTCCTTACCCAAGAATGGTGAGAAGATGCAATGTCCTGTCCCAAGGGGCTGTAGAGATGAATAGTATAGATACATTGATACGCATTGCAGATACACTGAGGCAAACATAAAGCAGTTGGGCTGAATGGCCTATTTCTGTTATATAAATTCAATGCAAGGTGCTGGCTTCATTGCTGAGTTTTTTTCTTTCATCTGACAAAATGTTTTAACGAGCGTGCAGGCACAGAGACATCTTGTGCATACACAAATGTCTAAAGGTGACAGGACAAGTTAATGACACTGTTTAAAAATAAACCACACTGGATATTTGTCTTTATAAATAGAAGAATGAAGTGAAAAGGCAGATACGCTATTTTAAATCTTTATAAATCAGGTTACTTCTCCTGTCTTTCTTTCCTCTCTCTGTTTTGCTCTCTTCTGATTCCCTCACTCTCACTTTCATTTCTCCCTTTAGTCTCCTTCCCTTTTCTATCCCTTTCACTTTTACCATCATACAGTTCTCTCTATCTCCTGTTTTGTCTGATTCAGTCAGTATTCTACCCCTTATCTCTGTATCTATCTGTTCCTGTATTCCCCTTTATCTTTACTTCATTCGTGCTGTGAGAAAGATTGATTTTCAATTTGTTATAGAGTCATGGAGTCATACAGCACGGAAACAGACCCTTCAGTCCAACCAGTCCATGCCGAACGTAATTCCAGACTAAACTGGTCCCACCTGCCTGCTCCTGGCCCATATGCCTCCAAACCTTTCCTATTCACAAAGTTATCCAAATGTCTTTTAAATGTTGTAATTGTACCCACATCCACCACTTCCTCAGGAAGTTCATCCCACGCCTGAACTTACCCCTGTGTAAAAAACAAAATTGCCCCTTATGTCTTTATTAAATCTCTTTCCTCTCACCTTAAAAATATGCCCCTAGTCTTGAAATCCCCCATCCTACGGAAAAGGCACGTACCATTCACCTTATCTATATGCCTCGTGATTTTATAAACTTCTATAAAGCCACCTCTAATCCTCCTATGCTCCAGTGAAAAGAATTTCAGCTTATCCAACCTTTTCTTTATAACTCGAACCGTCCATACCTGGCAACATCCTGGTAAATCTCTTCTGAACCCTCTCCAGCTTGATAATATCCTTCCTACAACAGGGCAACCAGACTGGACACAGTACTTCAGCAGAGGCCTCACCAATGTCAGCATGACTTCCTAACTCCTATACTCAAAGGACTGAGCAATGAAGGCAAGTGTGCTAAACGCCTTCTTAATCACCTTGTCTACATGTGACGCAAACGTCTCTATGTGTTCAGAAGTAATTGCTTATCAATGATCAGAAACCCTGGATGTTACCATTTTTAACTGGGAACCAAGTGGGTGCTATGAAATAGTAGCCCTGATAATTTTATTTTTTTTTAGTAAGTAATGACATTTATTTTTCATGCTTGGCACCTGTGCTGAAACCTGTGGAGGAAAGTGTCAAGTTTCATTGCTCAATCTCCGCTTCTAACACAACTTGACAGCTTCACCAGAAGCAGTAGCCTGCTGGGGATTAAAAACAGTGGGTGGAATGTTGTAGGGGGCTCAGGGATATGGGCTGTGGGGAGAGGTATGGTATGGTTAGCCCCATCTAAACATCAGGATCATCTTGTTCCACATCCTATGTTTTCCTCATGTCGAGAATCTCGCTAGGCGGCAGTAAGACACAAATTGATGGTCAGTATTCATTGTTAACTGCCTTGTTAACACAACTGACCTCATTAACATTCACACTCCCATCCTACCAAACTCACCAAACAAGGTAGACAACAGGAAGACTTGACAAAGAAACCAGAGCAGGAAGTTGGTAGATTCAGCTTGCCACTTAGTAAAAAAATGGCCTCGATGTTGGACATTGGGTGACAAATTGGGGTTGGGGAGGGGGGTGGGTGTCATCCAGAGTCAGGGGCACCTTGGCTTCAAATTGGGGTGACAGTGTATGACTACATCTGACATGGGCACCCCATGTACCAGGGCCCATGTGGGAAGGACAGGCAGGTGTAAGCACAGGTACACAAGTTAAGAGGGCACTGGGATAGTAGGAAGCCTTTGGGGTGAACAGCATTTTTAAAAATTCACTCCTGGGAC